AGTCTCTTTCAATTATAAAAACAGATCGAGCAAGCAGAGATTCCAAGAAACCAAGGGACAGGAAAGGATGAAACTTTCCCCGAGTGCTGGTGCCAGGGATTCCGACTGCTAGCCTCCCACCCATTGAGAAGCCGCCCACTTGGGGCATTTTTGTTACAGCAGCACTAGCCAACAAGGATAGAAGGGAGCGTCCTCAAGCTGACAAAAAGCATCTACAAAACCTACACGTAGTAATTAGGAACAAGGCAAACACATCTATTCCATTTCCATTCACTCCATTAAGTTTCTAGCTAGTGCAAGTTTCTAGTTACACAAGGAAAACTTTCAAAGGAAAGAATAAAAAAATTTAGACTGGAATGGAAAAAGAAACTGTCTTAATTCACAGATAAACACCATAGATTAAAAAAAAATTGTTTTTAACTCCAAGCTCACCGCCATAGAGTTGATTCTAACTCATCACGATCCTATAGGAGAGGGTAAAACTCCTGTGGGTTTCCAAGATTGTAACTCTTCATGGGAACAGAAAGCCTCGTCTTTTCCTGAGGAAAAGCTAGTAAATTCAAATGACTGACCCGCAGTTTGCCAGCCTAATGTGTAACCTCTATGCCGCCAGGGCAGGTGAGAACGTGTTTGAAGTTCCTAAGAAATTTACACACACACAAATCCTCCAGAACTAATCAAGTTCAGCAAAGTCACAAAATCAAGAGAGCTATATGTCATACACACAGCAGCATATTTTCATACGAACAGTAAATAATATGAATGTGGAATCTTTAATAATTCTATTCACAATACCATCCCAAAAGTACTTAGACATGTTTTTGTTAGTTGCTGTCTAGTCAGCCCACAATTCATGTCAACCCATACACAATGGAATGAAACACTGCCCACCCTGCCCCCTCGTCATAGTGGCTGCAGGTAGGGCTGTTGTGGCCACAGGGTTTTCATGAACTGAATTTCAGGCCTCACTTTCTAGTCCGTCTGAGGTAGTTAGTTTATTGTGCCAGCCTGGCCGATAAACACATGGGGGATTATTGAAGGGCGGAGAGATAAATGGCTTGGCGAGCCTCACCTTTCTCGTCTCTCTCGCTCTTTGATCATCGGACCAGTGTGTGGCTGCCTTGCTTGTTCTGTGCCTCAATTTGCAAGGTACACTACCTATGGGACACCTAACCTGTGGACTGTGTTGCTGTAATTTGAGGTTCCTTTAAGACCTGCTTCGCCACACAATTGGAATTTACATCTCTTGAGCTGGGGACTGACTGTTGATGACCTGCCTTGCTGTTGGCTGCCAATGCCCGGACAGCCTGAATTGCTCTACAGAGGACTACCTGGTGACCCTCAAGACTTGAAGGACTTCCAGTGCCTCACAACTGTCTAACACATTTGAGTTGTATTGAGCCATTTGTACTGCCTTATAATTTAACTGTTTATTTCTTGTGTTATATATCTATCTATCTGTATAACTGCTTTATAATTTAACAACTGTTTATTTCTTGTGCTAGCTATCTAAATATATATTTATAAAATTATTAGCAATCTGGTTTTGTCTCTCTAGAGAGCCCTGTCTGACACACTGTCTTAGCCCAGAAGTGCCATTAAAACCTGCTGTGTGTCATAAGAACACACAAACCACCAGCTGGTAACCACACTTGAAGCGCATTGGCTGGAAGTTTGCAAAATAACAATTCAGTTTGAGGGCTTAAGCTTTTTAAAAATTTAAAGAAATTTAACATATTGAAACTTACTACATAGCTACTCTAATCAAGATAGCTTGGTACGCTAATCAGATTGGTTTGATACTAGTATAAATTTAAACATGTAGATCAATGACATGAAACTGTGAGTGCAGAATTAAACTGTGGTCAATGGATTTTTTACTACGATGTCAAGATCATTTAGAGGAGGCAGTAATAATCTCTTCAACAGTTGGTGCTGCAGAAATTGATTATCCACCTGAAAAAATATGACTTTACACCCAAAGAGTTCTGCTGGTGCTGCTAGGTAACCACAGGGTGCGCAGTTCAAAACCACGGGCCATTCCGAGGGAGAAAGAGGATGCTGTCTGACCCTGCGAAGATTTACAAACCCTCAGAAGCCCTGTGGTGTCTATGAGTCAGCATCAACTCAATGGCAGTGGGTTCGGTTTCATTTTGACCAATTTACAAAGTTAATTAAAAAGATCCCACACATTTTCATGTAAAACTTAAAGCTATACAGTTTCAAGATACAAACATAGGGAAAATGTTTTTGATCTTGGGGTTAAAAAATTCTTAATTATAACCCTAAGAGGGAAAAATTGTTAAATCTGACTTCATAAAAACTAAGAATGTATGTTCTTTGAAATACACTGTTTGAACAAAACCAAACCACAGAGGAGTTGAAATTATGTGTGCACTAAATTTCAGAGAAGGGAGTCTATGTGACCTCTTTTCGAGGCAGGGGTCGGGCATGCCTCACACTGTATCCTCCTCTGCCTACTCCGACAGGAGCCATTCTTCCCATACCACTGTTCGTCGTCGCTGGGCTTGAAGATTCAGTGCAATGGCCACCAGGACTCACAGACAACACTCACAATTAAGGGGGCTTACTAGGGAAGTTACTAAGTCACCACAAGTCAAGATCCGCAAACAGGACGCAGTCATTGGCCTCCTCAAGCTAGCAGCCAAGCCTCTCCGGTTCCTTGTCTCTCAGCCACATGGTCCCATGACCTTTGCCTCCACGGTCCAAGAAGGCAGCCAACTGTCATTCAGTCACCCATTTCCATAGTCTCGGGCTAGATAGGAGTGATATGGTACTCCACAATCTTAGTGCTGCCCTTCGAAGTCTCTATGCCACAATCTGTGATGCAACTGGTCTCAGCGGCCTCCCGGGGAGCTGGAAGGTGCTCTTCCAGGATCCTCCCGGTTTCTCCCTCCTCTGCCCTTTCAAAGACGGTTCATTCTTACAGCCAGGGGTGTGGTAATGAAAACTGACCCATCTCCTCACTTAGTGTTACACATGTCCTGTTTGCGTAGTACCACCCACTCAATAAACCTATTATACAATAAGGAAGACCAAAGGAGAATGCATACATTTGAATTATGGTGCTGGTGAAGAAAATAGAAAGTACCATAGACTGAAAAGAGAATAAATAAATCTGCCTTGGTAGAAGTATAGGCAGAATGCTTCGTAGAGGCTTTGCTTCAAGTACTTTGGGCGTGTTGTCAAGAGCGACCGGTTCCTGGAGAAGGACATCATGCTTGGTCAAGTAGAGGGACAGTGACAAAGAGGAAGGTCCTCAACAAGATGAATCAACACAGTGGCTTCAACAATGGACTCACAGCAATGCTGATAAAAATGGCAGAGCTACACTGTGGGATTCAGGAATGAAACATTGGGTGATAAAACCCCAAAGGAAATCCAGAAAGTGACTACCGTAAAATTTGTGAAAGTAGTTGTTTATAGGAGTCAAGGCATTTGATGCCTTTAAAATTATTTGTTAGAAAATTAAAGTCATTCAGCAAGTAGGACAAAGCCATTGGTAACCTAACATATTGCATTGTACAGTTTATAAGATTTTTTGATGTGTTCAGACAATGACAACTTACTAATGAGCAGACTAATTTGAAATTTGAATGGAAATAATCATCTTTCTCTTATATTAAATTTATGCATATTGGTACAAATCTCTAACCATATAAAACCAAAGCAAGTATTTCAATTTTAGAATTTTTATCTAGTTATTTTAATGGTTTATGTATATTATATCAAGTTTCTTTTGTACGGCACAATTATTTTTGTTGTGTGTGTCACTAGTTCAACACATTTAATTGTTGACTTGTGTTCCATTGTATGGATATACTGTAATTAATTTACCCATCAACTTGCTGATGGACATTTAGGTTGTTTCCTGTTCATTAATCTGCTCAGATTTCCTATCTTCATTAATTAGAGCATATATTCTTTTATATCTTCCAGCAGAGTTATAATTACTCCTTCAAAAATCCTTAAGTTCTGATTTCAATACTTGGGTCATTAACTTTATTTCTTGAAACTGAGTCATACTCTTTCATTGTATGGTGAATAATTTTTTCATTGTATTGTGGACATTGTGAATCTTATGTGGTAGAGATTAATTTCTTATAGTCTTTCAAAGAATGTTGTTATTTTAGGCAGGCAATTAGGTTAGTTGGCTTAGGCAAACTCTGATTCTAGCTTAGCAGCTCAACTCTCCGCTATTTTACAAGACATCAGAAAGTTCATGGGAAAATTCCATTTTTGTATTTCACTTTTCCACAAACTTTTTGAAGATACATAGCGTCCTCCTCGTGTGTGTAGTTCAGGACTCAGTCAGAGATTTGGGTAGAGCTAATAGGCAGTACTTGAACCTTCCACTCCCCAGTCTCTTCTATTCAGGATTCCCCCTTCACTTTCTAGCAGCTGTAATTGTCCTAAACCTTGTCCTCTGGGTTTATAGACCAGAAAGACTATGTTTGTAGACCAGAAAGACTATCAAACTCTTTAAGAGTTTGATCTGTCATGTCTGATGCATACTGGAGCTGCCCTTTGAAGCCATTGAAATACACACACACATAAATACAGAACCCCAAACCGGTCCCATCCAGGATGTCTCTTCATTGCACATAGTTCTCCCACAGAATTGCCCTGTTTTTACTCACTTTCTAGTACCTTTACATGATTCTGATTTGTTTGTTTTTAATATTGCCCAGAATGTAATATTTTACCTGAGAAACTAATCTGTTGGAGCGTATTTGGCCATTATAGAAAAACAACAACTATATATATATATATATATATACACATACACACACATACATATATATATATATATATATATATATACACATATATTTCTTTAAGGAAATCATATGATGATGCTGGTAATCACTTTCTCTGGATGAATAAACAGGAGCAAAGATATCTATGAATAAACAATGATATAAATTATATTTTAGCTATTTTCAATAATAGACTTATGTCTATTTTGTGTTTTTTAGGACTAAATCAAATGAAGCTGATGACTGTCAAAGGAAACTGAGAAAGCTGGAGTTTGAATCTGTTATTTCTGAGTCACGGTATATATTGCAAATATTTTCAAGTAAAAATGTAATAATTGAAATTGAAACAAATTTTACATGAAAGATAAATTTAGCTTTTCTTATTGTATTGCTTATGTGAATTATATTAATTATGAATACATAATTAGAGTAAGTGTGTCTTGAAGTTGTTTATTAATTTTGCCTCATGTGTAAATTGGCAAGTTTTAACATCACCAAAAGATGTATTTTCTTTTTTTTTTAATACTTTTTTTGGGGACTCTTAATCTCTTATCACAATCCATACATCCATCAGTGTATCAAGCACATTTGCATATATGCTGCCATCATCATTTTCAAAGCATTCTCTTCCCACTTGAGCCCCTGATATCAGCTCCCCATTTCTTCCCCCTCCCTTCTATTTCCATATCTTACATCATCCTCTGATGCCCCTCATCCACTTTTCCATTTTTTTGTCCCCCTGGGAGGGGGTTATACGTTGATCCTTGTGATCAATTCTCCCTTTCTCCCCCCACCCTCTCCTAACCCTCCTGGTATTGCTACTCATTGTTGGCCCTGATGAGTTTATCGTTGCTGGATTCCCTGTTTTGTGGGCTCTTATCTGTAGCAGTGTGCATGTTCTGGTCTAATCTGATTTGTAAGGTAGAATCAAGGTCATGATAGTGGGGTGAAGGAAGCACCAAAGAGCTAGAGGAAAGTTGTGTGTTTTATCAGTGTTCTGCTGCAACCTGATTGGCTCATCTTTTACCTGTGACCCCTCTGTGAAGGGATATCCAATTGTCTACAGATGGGCATTGGGTCTCCACTCCATCTCCCACCCCGCAATTCACATTGGGTATGATTTTATTCTGGGTCTTAGATGCCTAACACCTGATCCCATTGACACCTCATGATCACACAGGCTGGTGTGCTTCTTCCATGTGGGTTTTGTTGCTTCTGAGCTAGATGGCCACTTGTTTACCTTCAAGCCTTTAAGACCCCAGATGCTATATCTTTTGATAGCTGGGGCACCATCAGCTTTCTTCACCACATTTGCTTATGTATCTGCTTTGTCTTCAGCAATTGTGTTGGGAAGGTGAGCATCATGGAATGCAAGGTTAATAGAACAAAGTGTTCTTGCATTGAGGGAGTACTTGAGTGGAGGCTCAATGTGCATCTGCTACCTTAGTACTAAACCTAAAAATTTATGCACATAGACCTATTTCTCCATCATCATATATAAATATATTTACATATGTACATGCCTGTATTTAGACTTCTATAAATATCCTCTGCCTCCTGGTTCTTTCACTGGAGACAAAGTACGGGAATTGTGCATAATCTGACCCCATCACACTGGGGCGAAACACTAAGGACATGCAATAGAGCAGCAAGGGGAGCAAAATGATGAAATCCCTGGGGAATACCAAAAATAGACTTTGGAGACAGAGTGTGGCACCCCATCAGACTCAACTGGAAAACACTCGTAAAGACCAACAAACAGACCCCGAACTATTTATAGGCTTTTCCATTCTTGTCAGTGTCTTTCTTTTGTTGTTGTTGTTGTTATTTCATTGTTTTGTTGGTCTTGATTTCCTTTGTTGTTTTATTTGGCTTTGCCTGGTTTTTGAGCTTATTAATGTATCTGCATGTCTATCTAGATAAGATGGGCAGGATAAATAATTCAGAGATGAAAAGAATGGGACCAATGGGTCCAGGGGGATACAGGGGAAAGAGAGGTGGGAGAAAGGAAGGGGGTGGGGAAACCAACCCAGGGACAAGGGAACAACAAGTGAACTAAAATTAAGGGAGAGAAGGGCATCGGATGCCTAGTGGGTTTTAATCAAGGGCACTGTAGCAGTGAGGAATTACTAAACCTGAATGAAGGCAGAACATGATGGTGGGACAAGAGGAAAGATGTATTTTTTTAAACATATTTAATTTAAAATTTATTATTCCTAATGGCCTTTTCATATATCTTTGATAAACACCAAAAATACTATCTAATAGGATTCTTTTTTAATTCTTTTAGTCACACTAGACTACTTAAAGAAAAAGAAGAATCTTTAGCATCTTGTCAGCAGTCATGCAAAACTTTACAGGAACAACTGACTGCCAAGGAAGGGCAAGAAGAAGACATGAAAAGGAAAATTAACCTTACAGAAGAGGAACTTGAATTAGCCAAAGCTCTTCTGAGTCAGACAAAGGAAGAGACTGCAACACTGAAAAATGAAAGGTGAAGTAAACAGTAATTCATGTTAAAAATGTTTATTTTTTTTAAATCATTTTATTGGGAGTTCATACAATTCTTATCACAATCCATCCATCCATTGTATCAAGCACATATGTACATTTGTTGCCATCATCATTCTCAAAACATTTGCCTTCTACTTGAGCCCTTAATATCGGCTGCTCATTTCCTCCCTCCCTCCCCTCTCCCCCTCCCTCATGAACCCTTCATGATTCATAAATTATTATTATTTTATCATATGTTACACTGTCCAACGTCTCCCTCCGCCCTCTTCTCTGCTGTCCATCCCCCAGGCAGGAGGCTATACTTGTAGATTCTTGTAATCAGTTCCCCCTTTCCACCCCACATTCACTCTACCCTCCAGGCATTGCCACTCTCACCACTGGTCCTGAAGGAGTCATCTGTCCTGGATTCCCTGTGTTTCCAGTTGCTATCTGTACCAATGTACATCCTCTGGTCTAGCCAGATTTGTAAGGTAGAATTGGGATCATGATACTGGGGGAAGGGGGGGAGGAAGCATTTAAGAACTAGAGGGGAGTTATATGTTTCATCGTTGCTACCCTGCACCCTACTGGCTCATTTCCTCCCCACAACCCTTCAGTAAGGGGGTGTCCAGTTGCCTACCGATGGGCTTTGAGTCTCCACTCTGCACTCACCCACATTTACAATGATATGATTTTTTGTTCTTTAATCCTTGATACCTGATCCCTTCGACAGCTCGTGATCACACAGGCTGGTGTGCTTCTTCCTTGTGGGCTAGATGGCCGCTTGTTTATATTCAAGCCTTTAAGACCCCAGACACTAAAAAATGTTTATTTTTACGTCACTACAGGAGCCCTGGTGGTGTAGTGTTGGGCTGCTAACTGCAAGGTCAGCAGTTCAAAACCAGCGAGTTTCTACTTGGGAGAAAGACAAGGCCTTCTACTCCCATAATGAATTACAGTTTCTGAGACTCACAGGGCCAGTTCTACCCTGCTCTATTGGGTTGCTATGAGTCAGCATCGACTCGGTGGCAGTGTGTTTTTGAGGTTTGTTTTAAATTCTTTTAGAAAACCCTGGTGGCATAATGATTATGCATTGGGCTGTTCACTATAAAATTAGCAGTTTGGACCTACCAGCCACTCCACAGGAGAAAGGCTTGGCTCTCTACTACCATAACGAGTTTCATTCTAAGGAACCCACCGGAGCAGTTCTATTCCTTCTAGGGTAGCTGAGTTAGAATTGACACCATAGCAGTGAGAATACCATAGATGAGGAACCCTGGTGGCTCAAGAGGTTAAATGTGTGACTGTCAACTAAAAGGTTAGCAGTTCAAACTCAAAGAGCTTCTTTATAGTCTGCTTCCATACAGATCTACATTGATTGGAAATACTATGGGCAATTCTATTCTCCCCTATAGATCCCTATGAGTGGGAATAGTCTAGAGAACAATGGGTTTGAATTCCATACGTATTTAAAATATCAAGCTCCTGTGCGTTATAACAATAGACGCACAAGATGTATTTCTCCTTAGAGTTCATTACACCCAACCACCTCATTTTTCAGGGAAGTAAACCGAAGCCCAAAGAGTTAAACTAGCTAGTGATACAAGGAAGAATGGAAGCCAAATTGTGTTTGGCTTTAATATTAGATTTTTCTAATGTTTAATTTATCCTATTATATTATGACATGTTTTCTAAAAGCATTTTATATTGATTATATTATATCTTATATAATATTAGATTTAATATTAGATATTTCTTTAAAAGAGTCAAATTGAGTTATATGCAGTACTTAAAATTGTGAATTTCACCTGAGTCAATAATTTAGTGGCATTCTATAATTTTCTAATGAAAAAGGAAAAAATAATTCGTTTTCTGAGTAATTAACATATTGTCTAGACTACCTCATTTCCAATGTTGCTCGATTAACTGCTTATCTAATGAGTGTTATCTCCTTCTCAGAGGTCATTGAGAAGATTCTACCTTTATTCAAATGTTGATGAAACTCTCCTCAGAGGACTGGCTTAGGTCTCAAAATCAGACAAATTATATGAAGGGATTATATGATTTAGCTAATGACATCTAAAGAAGCTATTCCTTAGAATATCTTCAATACAAAGTCTTTGTCCTTTAGGAATAGATTTAATTTTTAAATAGTCTCAAGTAGGCCAAGTGAAAGTTGGTCCACTTAATATGATTGGAAACTAATCTGGGAAATACCATTTGGGATAAAATATAAAGTAAAATGTTTTCTGTTTTCTAGGCTTTATAAACTATCCATAGCTGCAATTTGAGAGGGGAATTTTATGAAGTGCTGATTGGCAGCATCATTACAATTAATGTAAAACCTTCCCAGGGGGGTGCTTGGAAATAGTGCATCCCCTTGAATGAATATGTATTATTACTTTCTCTTCTTTAGTATGATTACAGTCACATCCATCTGTTATAAATATTGAATGAGAAGAGCAATTTCTATAAGCTTTCAGAAAAGAGAAACATCACTGAACTATTTTTGTCCCTTCTGTTCCCCGCTTTGCGTGTGTCTGCGCCCCTTTTCTGTTCTTTGTATTGCAGTGCAGTGAGTCCCTGAATAAGGCGCTTTAGCTTTAGGCTTTCAACTCTCACCGAACGACTTTTTCCTGATGGTTGTGTTAGAGAAGGTGGGGGGAGATTTGGTAGGATTATCTGATTCACTCGTGACAGACTGCTATCAGAGCTCATTGCAGTTGTGAAAAGCTGAGACTGGAATGTGGCCATCGGTCAATTTTGCCATCCTGCCGGTCTGTTGTTGTTAGGCTCCATCAAGTCAGTTCTGAGCCATGACGACCACATGCACAACGAGGGAGGCACTGCCTGGTCCTGCGCCATCCTCACACTTGTTCCTAAGCTTGAGCTCGTTGTTGCAGTCACTGTATCCATCCATCTCATCCAAAGCCTTCCTGTCTTTTGATGCCCCTTTGCTTTACCAAGCATGATGTCCTGCTGGGTATATAGCAAGCCGTTTGGGCAGCAAAGTTAGGAATCTCACTGCCATCAAGAAAGAAGAGCCAGGAGTGGTGTGTGTCCTCTGGACCCCAAGATCGCTGCACACTGAACTCCCCAAGAAGCAGCAGAAGAGGGGCAGAGGACAACAGCAACAGAACCGAGAGAGAGAGAGAGAGAGAGAGAGAGAGAGGCTTCCCAGCTTACAAGATTGAGAAAAGCTGAGTACCTTTGGGCAGGAAACTTGTAGACTGGGGTGCCGTCAGGTGCTTACTTGAGGGAACTATACTTGGTGGCCACAAAGCTAGCACTGAGTGTCCTTGAGCTGAGTCTTATGGTGGAGTAGAACTTCCTTTGGGAATTTATCAGCAGCCCTAAAAGAACTTTGCAACATTGGCAAGCAGGGCAGAGGCCAAGGGGCTAAGTGGCTGAGAGCCCAAAGACGAGAGAGACTTGCTTGGAGGCGTGGCTGTCTTGAGCATTTCTGACCCTGAATTGTAATCTGTTAACTTCCCTAATAAAGGCCACAATCTAAGTTCTGTGTGCCATTAATAAATAAGCCCACAATCATAGTCTGTGAGTTCTGTGTGGCCATTGCAACGAATTATTGAACCCAGAAGGGAAGTAAAGAATACAGCAGGAGGAATGATTGGTGTCAGAATTGTTTTTAAAAAGGTCGGAAGGTGGAGGCTTGCCTGACACCTGTCTCTCAGAAATTGGCTTCAGGCTGATGGGGAGTTTGATTCTCCCGCAGCCTTGTGAAGTGAGAGGAGGTCAAATGCCCCCCCCCCCCCACTGTTCTGACAGTTATCTATCTGACAGTTTATACAAAAGCTGGCATGATATTACTTGATCATCTTGTCACTCTAAGTTTACTGACATGATATTTGTCAAATAAAAAAAAAAGTGCTGGCGGACCAACAAGATATATAAGATCATAGGGTTTCTCCTAAGCAAAGCATTGTTTTCATCGTCTGTCCCAGGCTACTTTCAGACTGTGTTTGCCTATCCCCAGAGCCTGAGGGGCACATGTATGCACCCAATAAGCATCTGTTGAGTGAATGAATTACTTACTTTGGATAATTCAACAACATTTATTGGGGGAGCATTTGCTATGTGCAAGGTGGTGTGGGGTTCCTGGATGGTGCAAATGAATAGGCAGTCAATTGTGAACGGAAAGGTTCACAGTTCAAATCTACTCAGATAACCTTCAGAAGAAAGGCCTGGAGACCTACTTTATAAAGCCCATGGCCATTGAAAAACCCACTTTGAAACACTTAAGGGTCTCCATGAGTCTGAATTGATTTAGCAGCAACTGGCTTGGTTTTTTTCCACCTGAAGGTTAAAACACTGAGCCCTAGTGGTGTAGTGGATTATGCATTGGGTTGCTAACTACAATGTTGGCAGTTCCGCCAGCCCATCTGAAGAAGGGCGATGCAATTATCTGCTACCATAAAGATTTACAGTCATGGAAACCCACAAGGGCAGTTCTGCTCTGGCCGATAGGGTTTCTATGAGCCAGAATTGACTCACTGGCAGTGCAGGGTTTTTGTTTGTTTGCGGTTGGGGTTTTTGTTTTGGGGATACAGCAGTGAATCTAAGAGTCCCAGTCCTCATGGAGCTTGAATTCTAATAGAGGAGATACGCATCTGTTCAATTAACATGCATTATTTTCTTCTCTCAAGCCCTGCATCCCTCCTCCCCAAGCAGAAGAAACTCTTTTCAGAAGAGAAGAGGTTTCACGGACAGGAGGGGTGGTGGGCCCTTTATGGTCATGGGATGCAAGGGTGGAAAGTCTGACTAGCTGGGTCACAGAGACCTTGGCACTAGAGAGAGTGGCCTCTTGTGGGGGACAGGAAGGCAGTGAGCACAGGGGCAGTGCCAGAGAAAAATGTGGCTGGTTTAAAATTCTGCGTGAAGAGAGTTCTCAGTTCTCCTGCTCCTGGGCCACAGGTCTCTGTGGCTAAGGCCACAGCTCCTCCAGGACCATGAGTGCACGACAGCACTTCAGGTACACTGCTG